TCTCCCCTCTTCGAAACACCGGGATACGTCCCTACGTTTCTCCCCTCTTCGAAACACCGGGATACGTCCCTACGTTTTAAGTCTTCGGCCTTGTCAAAAATGGGTCGTCTCTGGGCTTTGACACTCACTCTCGTCATTGTTATGACTTTCGAGTTCTGTCAAAGAGGGACAACTGTAGACACCCCATTTTTGACCGTCCTCAAGAGTTGGACGTCATTGCTTGAACACTCGGTGATCATCCATGTTTGTGTTTGTCTTGAGTTCTCGGAAGCGTCGGCTACGCACCTTGCCTCAGAGTCTCTCGACTCGACCGTTTTGTGTCTGGTTTTGCACCAAACACTTGTGTTTTTTGCTTTGGAGGGTAGGGAATGGCTTTTGGGACATCCCTACACTCCACCGGCCGTGGCTTAAGGCCACCGGCTGTGTCTTGTTGCCATCGGCCAAATGTGATGGCCAGTCGGCCAATTTGACTGCCGGTCGACCACTTTGATGGCCGGCCGTCCAATTGTGGTTTTTAACAGATATTTCTGTAGACAGCTGGCAGCTGTCATTCCAGGCCATACCCCAGCCCATGCTTGGACGTGGGACTTCTGAGGGGGCTGCAGATTGATATATCTATATCAAGCAAGCTCTCTCAAAGAGGAGGAACAAGAGGAAGAGGAAGAGGAAGAGATATACAACCTAAGGAGCAAAAAATCTCTCTCTCTCTACATTTTCTGCCTCTCTCTCTAAGGTTTAGGGCTTGTTTGTGCTCAAAAGTGCATTTTCTTTGCACTTTTGCATACAAACACCTAGTTCTCTACTCCCTTTATTGAGCTAAGGTCTTTGGAGGTGATTTTTGGGGTGATTTGAAGCCTTTTTTTGGTCCAAAAGTTGCTGATTTGCTGCTGTGCTTCAAGGGTGAGCTTTTACCCCTTTTAAGCCTTGTTTTCATAGCTTGTTTTGCCATATTTGCAACTGTTTTTGAGCTTAACACATAACATAGAAAAGTATTTTTTTGAGTGCTCTAAATAGTTTGTTAAGGGTGTTTTAAGCTTTGGGGTTGTTTGACCCCTCTTAAGGCTTGTTTGGCCCTTGTTTTGTGCCATTTCGGTTGAGCTCCGAGACCATGGTGTTTGGGCCTCCTTACCACTGAAATCTTGAGGGATTTCAGTGATGAGGATGGTGCCTTGAGGTCCTAGGAAGGAGAAAATGGCCATTTTTTAGCCTCTTGAGGGAGCATATAGTTTGAGTGTGTATTGACCTTGCCTTGACTGATTTTCATGATTATTATGTCATAATATAGCATTGTTGTATGTTGGTTTTGGTACACCATACTTGCTTAGCATACATGCCTTGTAATGCCTTGTTTTAGCCTTAACATGTCCTATGCTTTGAGCCCTTATTCAAGCATGTTTAGGCCTAGCTTTATGAAGCTTTTATGTTTGTCTTGCCATGTTTAAGGTCTTTCCTTAGCTGTTTTGGTCGACCAAGACATGCATTGCATAGTCCCTTTGCATCTTGGATTGTTAGCCCCAAGTGTGTGAGTGTGTAGTGTGCGTACTTGCATCATTTTCAGTGGTTTGGAACCACTTACCATGCTATTTCAGTTCTCATAACATGCTTGCATGCATGCCTTTGATGCCTCTTTGATGCCTTAAAAGCTTGTGTTGTATGCTCCATGTTTAGCCTCTTTTGCATGCTTCCATGTTTAAGCCACTTAGATGCCATCTAGGTGTTCCCTTTGCATGGTCTAGGCCTACCTTGAACCTGTTTTAAGCCCTCTTGGCCTTGTGAGGCTTGGTTGGCTTAGCCATGGTTTAAGTCTCCTTGACTAGCCTCAAGTACTTGGACCAATTGTACGCTATGTTTGTCTTGGTTAAGTTGGTTTGGCACCATCATTAGCATGGTTTTCAGAGCTTACATTGCATGCCCTTAGTCCATGTTTAGTCTCTTCCAAGCGTGCTTGAGAGTTGCCTTTTGATGTTTAAATGTTGGCCCATTAACATGTGCATGTGTGTATGTGTGTTGGTCCTCATGTTTGAGCACTTCGGCCACTGATTTTGGCATGCTTGCGAGCCATCCTAAATTAGTTTAAGTCCATCCTCTTTGCTTGATTGTGTGCTCACCCTGTATGTTTGCTTGCATACTTGCATATTCGCATTGCATTGCCATGTTGTATGCTAGTTCACATTCTTAGGATTGCATTGCATGAGTATGCATGCTTGACCTCTTGAAGTGAGTATGATAGAGGTTGAGTTCAATTTCGTTTGTTTATGTGCATTACATTTCATTTGAAATTAAAATGCACACTTGTTGCTTTGGGCCATCATGCATGGAAATGCGCGATTGGTGGTCCGAGAATCGAGAATCATATCCCTTTGAGTCATGAATATGATAGCGGGTGTGATTGGTGCATACATTGCTTGAAATACATTGCCATGCCAAGTTCTGTCCTCTGCTGCTGTCAAAACAGATTCAACAGGAATATTTGGCCGGCCGGCAACGTTTGGTGCCGACAGGCAAAACAGGTTTGGCCGAGAGCATAGTTTTGTGGCCGGTAACCATTCTCCATGGCCGGTGATGATCTCACTCAGCCGGTAGTGTCCCACAACACTCAGAGAAGCAACCTTGGGAGTTGTGCAATTTTCAGAAAAGCAAAACAGTCAAAGCAGAGGCAAACTTGCGCATGGCGTTGGATTTCCGAGCAAACCCGAGCACGCGCGCATTGGATCCTCTTCCCGAGGCCTTTACTGCTTTCTTAGCTTAGTTATTTATTTGCTTAATTAATTAGGTGGTCTGTAATAATTAATTAGCTTGTAGGTTAATTAATTTGTATTATTCTTTTGGTCCCTCCGAGCGAGGGTGAATCTGTAATAAGTGTGGGTGCGTGTGTGCATGTCTTCCAACCCCCACTTCTTCCTCCCTTTTACTTACCTGCTTTTGATGGTTAGTATTAGGACATGTTTACTTTAGCATACCTTATGCTATGCATGCGTGCATTCATTCATCAGTATTGCATGCACCAGGCTCGGCGCATCATACTAACTGCATAAGTATTTCAAATCTAACTTGAATACATGCTACTTGTGCATTTTCACATGTCATTTATAGACTAGCCGAGCCTACTCTAGTGACATTCCGTATGCGTTGCATTAGGCATTTAAACATGGACTTGGATCATGCATGATTGCTAACATGTTCTTGTTTTGGCACAGAGTACTAGGTAAGCATTTATACTTTAGCATATCACATGCGTGTGAGTGTTGCCATAACAGCATGATTACCATGAGCCTAGCTGCTTATGTGATATAACTGCTTGAATGCCTGTGGATGGAGGTTGAATTACCTAAATTGGAATAATGCATTAAAACTGTGAGTTTTAAGCCCACTAGATAGTGGCAAAACCATCTTTTCTAAAAGCCCACTTGAGGGTGGCAAAACCTGCATTTTAGCTTACTTGCGAGTAACAAACCATCTTCAAAACGAATATGCAATGTTTTGTTCCAATTTAGGCGATTTGGTCTATACTTGTTTGCAGTGCGCATAACATAGTAATTCTAGGCTAATAAATGGAATAAGAACACATAACGTTTTCAAAAACGGATATCACGGTTAGTAGAGGCCAATCTTCGGATCGGGCGAGAGGGGGTGCTCATAGCTGACCTTCCCCAATCGTACCCAAGCTCCCGAGCCGAGGCAACTTTGGTGATGACAGACACGTGGCCTTTGGCACCGAGTCAGGATTTCCTAAATTCCCCCATAAAAAATATTTAGGTGGCGACTCTGTATCTGGCAAAGCAGTCTATGTTTGGCACTTCTTTTCAAAAATCTGTTTCTCAAAACGATTTGTCAGATTTGGACTCTTTGGTTCAGATTAAGGACCGTGATACAAATTGAGTCCGAACTGTAGTGAGGCCCACGGGCGCATCTACAAGAGGTACCACATGCCTTTCGGTGAAAGACCGGTAAAGTGGGGTTTGGTATTGCTCAATATGCCTACTTGCAGACACCAGCCTAAGGATTACTTGAGTCGTGTTTACCACCTTGAAATTATATTGAAATTGTTTGATTAATGTGTTTTTAAATTGGCATTGTGCACAAGATTTTCAAAAGATGAGAAAAATATTTTGAGCATGACATGGTATATGCATTCATCTCATAAGATTGTATAAAATGTATTTGATGCTTTGTTAGAAGACATTATGAATTGTTTAACTTTTTGATTTAATTGACAATGGGGTAATTAAATAAATTGAAAAGAATATCCTGTTGTTATTGAAGCATGTTTATTTATTTAAGTTAACTAGTTGTAGTTAATTAAATAAATTAGATTTAAGAGATTATGTAATAAAATCATATGTTTTTTGACATGATATGATTTCATGTATATGTACGAGTATCTTTATACCCGCATATCTTCTAATGTTATAATATGAGATTGTTTGGTGAGCTAGTGGTTGCTCACCCCTACCTATAATGTGTACAGGGAATGTTTTCAGATTTGAGGATCAAACAAGTTGGCATGGTTATAAAGTGGTGATGAGCCGTAGTGCTTTTTAATTGTTTCTTTGACTGAGTTCTATGCTTTGTAAAAGGCAACGCTCTCTTATTTATTGTATGTCTCAGGACATTTCTTTTATTTGTATGTAAATGTCATTGTTGTATAACGAGAAGGAACATGTATATTTAATTATTCATCATTTCAAACTACATAGTTGAAAAGTGTAATTAATCCAAAAAAATTATTATGATTTCATACTATTATTTTGTGCATATCAAATAAATTATTTCAGTTTAGTACTTAAATTGTTATGAAATAATATTTAGTTTAAAAAGTTCAGCTGTGTGTTTGGTTTATAAATTTGGAAAGGAAAAAGAAAAAAGTATGTAAAATTAGATCAAATATAAATATATTTTATTTACGTTTCACTTACTTTTTCACTTTTTCTTTCCAAATCTATTCAAAAATTCTTAACTAAACACAATCTTGCGTAATTGCACACCCTTAACAGTTCCCATGTTATAAAACTCTTTCTAGATAAGAGTGACCAATACCCCATTTGAATTCTCTCTCTCTCTCTCTCTCTCCCCTCTAAGTGAGAAGAATGTCGATTGCTCAGCTCATTATCTTGGTTGTCCTGCTGCTTCTGATGACAATTTCACAAAAGTCAGGTAAGGGTAACACAATACCCATTTGAATTATTATCCATTAACTCTTTCATACAGACTTATTAAAAACTTTGTTTCATAATAAATGTGGAGTGCAAAGACATCTTCAGATTTCAATCTAAGGTTGATATCTTACAAGTTCCATGACTATACTTATGTTCTGTTCTTTTGTGTTCTCATCTTTCAATAGAAATTATAAGATAAATCTTGTATGTGAGAGAATTTCAAGATATAATAATCTAATGACTATGAGGATTTTGGGACACTAAGATCGAGAAATTTTGAGACAGAGGATTCCATATCTTCCATACTAGAGGCAGAGATTCTCTGTCTCGAAATTTCTCAATCTCAGTATCTCAATGTACTCGTAATTACATGATGTGGTGGAAATCTTAAGGTACAATCCTACTGATGAAAATTTCGGGCCGATCATGCAATAAGAGTGCATTGGAATAGAGGGATTGAGAAATTTCAAGACAGAATTCCGTGGCCCATACTAGGATGAACCATTTACTTAATATAGATGCATTAATTAGTAGTAAGATACAATTATTGTTAAATCATGCACAGTATACATTTTGTATCCAATTCTGTGATAGATTTTTGTGTTCCTAGACTTTCTTTCTATCTTGTAAGCATGTTTTAGATGCGGAGTTTGAGCAATGGTGCATAGCCGATGAACAGACACCAGATGATGAGTTGCAAGCAGCCATGGATTGGGCTTGTGGGAAAGGAGGAGCAAATTGCAGTGAGATTCAGGTGAACCAACCTTGCTATCTTCCAAACACTGTGAGAGACCATGCTTCATATGCCTTCAACAATTACTATCAGAACTTCAAACACAAGGGTGCAAGTTGCTACTTCAATGGTGGTGCCATCACCACTGAACTTGATCCCAGTAAGCACCCTCAAATCTTCAAGTACAGTTTCTTTTTTGGAAAATTATTAAATTATCGATTAATGAGAAACCGCAACACGAGTTATCATTTCTTCTGTTTAGTGAGTCAGCATGTCACATTCGTAAAAAATTTCTGTTTTGTGATTGGTATGTTTGAATCTTGGATTTTTTTAAAGAGAAATGACAATAATTTATATATTTATTTTTATGGGTTATTATACCCCAAAAAAATGATTTTGACTAATTTCCATTCATTTTATTCTTTTTTTTTTTTTTTCTAATTCAACCAAAAAAGAGAGACAAAACCTTTCGGGATTGTGATTGGTATCATTTTTTTTTTCATATTTTCATAAACCAAAAAAAAAAAAATGAAAATTTTAAAAAATACATCATTTTTATGTCAATATTTTTTGTGTGAAAACAAATTTGCGGTGTTTTAAAAAGTGTTCATTTTTTTTTTTTATAATAATCTTCTAAAAAAATTTACGTGTATGCTTTCAAAAATTAAAAACAAAAACGATACCAACTCAACTTCTTCTATTCAATTTTCATTTTCTATCTTTTCTCACCACAAAGTCAAAAATTCAAACACCACATAAAAGGTTTTAAATCTTTCTCCAACTGAAAGCAATCTGCCTCAAATCTACATACAAATCCAAACATCATCACATGGTTTTGAGGGGCTGGCCCATGTGCCTAGGATGCCTAATCCGTCTAAATCTGAGATGCCCATGCTTTCATTTTTATTCATTTATTTATTTTTAAAATTTTATTTTAAATTGTATTTAGATTTTAAGTTTAAATAAAAATTAAAAAATTGTTAAGAAGTATATTAAAAATTGACAACAAATCCAAAGATTGTTTTATTTTGATTGTAAGAACATAATTAGTGAAATCGTGTGGTAAGAAAAATAAATTATTATCCTAAAAGATAATTTTTTCTATTTTTCCAACTATCTCCTGACCACCGGTGTCAAAATGTTGTCAAGCTACTGACAGTGGCTAGTGATGGCTACTAGTGGTGGAGGTGATATGGATAAATAGGTAGATTATGTGGATAAATCGGTGATAGGTTAACATATTAGTAGACAGATAGATGACATGAAGATAGGAGGAAGAATGGATAGATAGACAGATAGTAGAGATAATATGGTCCTTTAAATTGTTATGTCTTTATAACTCTAAAATATTAGAACTTGAGACTATTGTCTCAAAAATTTCAATATTAAATTTATGACCCAGCGCTCATAAAGAATGAGAATTTTTTTTTTTAAGGTTATTGATATTAAAATTTTATAAGATAAATGATATATAATATTTTCAAAATAGTTGGAATCCCTCAACATTTTTACAGAGAAAATTTAACTTAGAGAAATTTCGGACCAATTCAAAGAAATTTCAATTTTTACAGAGCAATTTTTTTAATATTACAAAGAAATTTTGAAATTTCTCTGATATGATCATAGAGAAATTTCATCGAGAGATCTTAACTAATAAAAAATATATATTTTGAACCTTTGATACTATACAAAGTTGAAGATGAATGTTTCGCTAATTTCTTCCATAAAGAATAGTGAAGATAAAATAATACAAATTTAGAAAAATAGTGTGACATTTGAAAGTGATGGTTTAATCGCCTTTGATTATGCTAAAAAGATGTGAAAAAGAACAAATCAAGAGGGACCAACACTGATGTGAGATGGGATCCTCATGGGTCGGTTTCAATTTTAATTAATTTATAGAAATTCTTTTTTTTCAACGGCATGATTACATGAGTCACAATCACTTTGAATCAGAATTTTTTTTTACAATCAAGCCTGTCCTTATTTTTGCAATATATTTTTATTTTTTAAAATATTTTCTGTCCATGTGTAACCCTACTATGTGTTTGCCCGCAGGTCACAATGGTTGCCACTTTGAGTTTCTTCCCTAACATCAAGTAACGGGACACAAAATTTTCAAAATGAATGTAGTGACAACAATGATGTAGGGTTATTCATTTTTATGGTTTTTTTTTGTATTCATTGTGTCTTCCTTAAATCAAAGACTATGTTTTTTATAAGGGGAAATCAACGTTTCTAAAAAGAGGTATATTGTAAGAAAGTCATAATTTTTTTAAATAAAATTTATAAATATTTATAATGTGTTACGTCATTTTATAGTAAAAGTTATGAATGACGTATTTATAGTGTGTACCTCAAAATGAAAATTACAATTTATTGTGATTATGTTATTAATGATATGATGTGGTGTAAATGTTATGAATCATTTTGTGTGAGAAACCTTTTAACTTGGCGAGAAAAGTTATGACTTCTTGTGGTGGGATTTGGGATGGATGTTGTCACATAACTTGTATTGTGAGGCTCTGTGAGGTTTGTCCTGAGCCTATTTTGATAATTCGAACCGTCAAATTATTAGATTCGCCAAGTATATTATTCAATAAAAAAATAGGTTAATCAGACATGCGTAACCCCATGATCAAAACCTAGCTATTTTTAAAAAAATCATTAAAATCATACTAAGCATTTACTTTTTTAAAAATAAATGTGATCTTAGGGTTATAAATGTCTAATTAACCTAATTTGTTTTTCATATATGATCTACTCGATGAACCCTATAATATGAACGGTTCAAATTATCGAAAAAGATTTAGAACATGCCTCCCAGAAGCTTCACAACACCAACCCCACTTTGATTATGGTGTTTGTCGTGAAACGTTATGTTTATATTGCGTATGTTATGTAGCTGTTTAATGTTGTGTCTTGTGCAAATTTGCGGAGGAAAAACAGAAGAAAGCAAAAATAATGAAAAAAATTAATTTCTATTTCATTCACTTTTTTTTTTCTTTGCCTTTTCTTTTCCTTTTACCAATCTTGTCAAAATTTAAAATTTAAACACAACTTAAGTGAAAGATCTAAAATCTTAAAAAACATAAATTACTTGTTAGTTACGAAAAAAAATATCATAAATACGAGTATGCCAATAAGGATTGAAAAATTCTTACAAACTAAATTCAAGTCAATTATCAAGCGATTGTATTAACAGTTCTTTTGCCTCAATGAAGAGGATTTCAAAATTGTTAAGTATAGAGAAAATAAAAATTAAAAGAAGAAGGAGGGAGACAGAGAAAGATGATTGAGTGAATAATCAAACTAACTATTAATTTACCTCTACTCCTATGCTTCGAAAATGAAGTGCATAAAACAAAGTGCAGAACATTAAGTGCAAGAAATACAATGACAAGAAAAATAGAAATTAAATATCTTCGATTTGAGTGCTGGATCTTTTACAATGTAGTCATGAATGTCTATTTATATGCAAACATTTGTAGGAAAAAAACTACTTAATAACTACCACATTCTTCCATTTTCCACACTTCACATTCCATGATCTTCCACTTCATCTTTATGTCTCTATAACTTCTTTTAACCTCCAATTCATGTTCCATGATCTTTCACATTCACAATTATCTTTTCACATGTGTTTAATGATTCATAATTTCTCATAATTTTCAAATAAGTAGGAAAGTGCCTTGTGTACGTCTTACAATTTATCAATAATAATAATAATAATAAATTATTCATTTATACTGCCAACACTTGTCCTCGACAATATTTCATTGTACGAAAAATGCTTGGGACCTCTAATTAGAGGTGCCACTAGTGATACCCACTGCCACTGTCAGTGATGTTTTTTTTTTTTTTTTCTTCACCTCATTAGAGGTGTGTTTAGAGCCTCTAAATTAGAGGTCTCTAGCATCACTGTTCATTGTACCGTTGTACAAGGTGTTTTAGTTCCATTGCTTCTTTTATGGAGATTGGTAGAATTACAACTAGAAATTAAAGGAATTTCAACATCCACACACACTTTTGTGAGTTGAATGAAATTTGCAACAAATTCATTGAATTTCACATTAAAATATACTTGAATTCAAGGAAGGAGTGTGCCTTTCTTTTTTTTTCTTTTTCTTTTTTTTCTTTTTTCTTTTTTTGGGTGACAAAGATAGCATTAGAGCATTTACAATAGACTCTTTAAATAAGATTTGGTAGCTATTTTAGCTAGCGTCATCATATTTTAGTCACTCTAAGAGCATCAATATCAAACTAATTAAAATTTTGTTATATTTTAACTTAAAAGTTACTTTTTCTATTTTGATTTTACATCTTTCTAAATACATTCTCTAACAAACTCTTTATTATTTTTCTATACTATTTAAATATTATTGGGTAAATTACATTGACGCCCCTCGAGGTTTGCCTTTAATACAGATTCGTCCCTGACGTTCTACTAATTACATTCCCTTCCTATGACTTTCAATTCCATTACCTAGGTCAACTAACAGAAAGAACTGATGTCAGCAAACTATTTTCAAAAATACCAATTTTAATCGTAAGCTTTCTCTCTCTACATCTCATTCCTCCTATCTGCCTTTAACCTGCTCAAACCCACTACCAAGTTGGTCCAAACACACCCACATGCCTATGTTTTTGCCCATTTCTTTCCCAACAGCTCCATGAGCCATTTCCTAGCACAATCACTGCAACCCAGTAGCCATGAACACCTATCCCTTATCTCACCTTTAACACTACGACTACCCCTCCAAACAAATGAAACATTGTGCAAATCAAAGCCACCGTGAATCAAGCAAATCGAATGGAATTTGAAGAGACTCAAACTCAACAACCAACCATCGCTATTGTTATCAATTGAAGATTTGGGAGAGAGTGGGGTTTTGAGAATATAAAATATATATATAAAAACATATATGTACATACAAATAGAGAGAGAATGACATTGGAGAAGATGCGGGTTGAGGGGAAGGAAAGATCAATTACAAGATGTTTAGGTGCTTTAAGTTCAAGATCAAGGAGGCCGAGTGAACGCCGGATGTGTAAAATCCATTCATGAAGAATAAAAGTGATGGTTCCGTCGTCATACATTTGTTAATCAGCTCCTCTGGTTTCTGTAGCTTGAATTTTTTGTGCCCCCTTTCGGAAGGCGAAGAAGCCCTACAGTATCGGACTCCCGCTGTTCTAAATCGAATTCCACAAGTGCAATGTGAAATAGATAAACACCAAAGAGTCCCAATTTGGCAAATCTTTTGGAAAATCAATTTTGAATCAAATTTTCAAAAATGGACTACTTTGCCAGATAGAGAGTTGCCACTTCAATATTTTTTGGAAAAATTTAGGAAACCCATGACTCATGCCAAAGGCCACGTGTCCGTCATCACCAAGATTATATCGGCTCGGGAACTTAGGTAGGAGAGGGAAATGTTATGAATTGAGTACCCCCGCTCGCTCGATCAAAGATCGGCCTCTACTAATCATAATATGAATCTCATCTACATTATATGCTCTTGTTCCGGTTATTTAGACTAGCTTTTCTATGTGATGCGCACACACACAAGTATAGGCTAACTTTGCAAGAATTAGAACACTTGATTCATGTTTGTTTTGAAAGTTGTTTCAAAATATGTACCACTTAAAAAGTGATCGCAAATAAACATTACTCAAACTATTCCAATTCAAGCAATTAGCCTTCATCCACAGGCATCAAAGCAATTTATCAATTAAGCACTTAGCCTCATGGCAACAATCACACACATACGATATGCTAAAGCGAGTAAAGGCTCACCTAGTACTCCAAGCCAAAAGGAAATGATAAAGTTAGAAAGATGCATGGTCCTAACTTATGCAATATGACTAATGCAACATATGCGATATGCAATTACTAGGCTAGACTACTAAGCATGACGTATGAATCAATTAAATAATATATGGTCTAAGCACATATTCAAAGAATTATTAAACTAACAATGCAAGTTAGAATGATGAACCGAGCCTCGGTGCATGCAATACAAATGGATGCAAACATGAAGTATGCTAAACAAAACATGATGCCCCTAAACTAACCATCATAAGCTAGTAAATAAAAGGGAGAAAGACGTGGGGTTAGAAGACATACACATTATTACATTGCGCGCTCACAAAGGAGAGTCCGAATGAACTAACTGGCTAACTAATTAAAGCTAAGCTAAGCTAATTATTACAAAATAAATGAAATTAGCTAAACTACTTAACTAATTATTACAAGAACAAATTAATTAACTATTTTAGCTAATCAAATTACAACACTTTACCAAAATTCAACTAGCTACAACTAATTAATTACAACAAATATTTAAGCTAAATATTTAAACTAAACAGGCTCGATATGCGAGGAATACTCATGCACGTGCTCGGTTTCCACCCGAAAAGGCCACTGTTTTGCTTACAGAAGGTCTCTGTTACACAATAGAACACTTACACTTTTGTCCACTTCTAGAATAGCTCTGCTCTGCTCAAAAAACACACTGCTGGATTTTGCATTGGTGGCTAGCCAGCCAGGAGTGAGGGCCTACTAGCCACCAGTGATGGCCTACCGGCTACCAAAAGTGGCCTACCGGCCACTGCTGCAGGGTTCATTTTTGTTGCAACAGAGAACAAATAGAGCATGCACGGGATATTCTCAAGGGATGTCTGCACAACTCACCCCTCATTATCATGAACAAATCAAAGGAGGGACAAAACTTGGTTCACAAACCATCAACTCAAGCAATTTCATTGCATGATGGCTTATGAACCAAAATGTGCAAGTTCAATGAATGCAACAAAACAAGACTTAAACCTTCTCCCTTTCATGAATTGATCAAGGGAAGTGGTGACCTTGGAAACTAGAGTCATTTTATCACTAATGAGTATGAAATGCCTCAAGCTTCCATGTGTTCAATTAACGTCTAATTGAACATAAAATCAAGTTCTTATCTTGCATCATTTTAGTGACATTTTAATTACTTCATTTTGGTTTACCAATCATTTTTTAATTCATTGAGTCCAATGGTGAGTTTAAATCCTCTAATGGAAAGAGTTAAAATCAAGTGTTGCTTTAGGCATGAAAGAGACATCATACCATTGGTAATGCATCCCCAAAGGGATTGAATCATTAAGCATGGAATCTCAATCTCATGCTTAAACAAACTAGTTGTTTGAAGCCGCTTTCAAAGCAAAACAAAAGCCAAGAAAGGAGGGAGGTTGCAGAGGTGATTAAAAGTGATCACAAGTATGAACAGCTATAAATAAATGCACTTAACTCGAATAAGATGGTGTCTAA